AATTGCTCAGTCTCTCAGAGCTTCAATTCTTCATCTAATGGAGATGATAACATTTACTTCATAAAATTGCTCAGAGGATTACACAAAACAATGAATGTGAAATACTTTGGGTGATGTTTAGCATATACTAGTAATTGATGACCAATAAATGATAATTAATGTATTATAATTTATATCTTTCTTTTGAATCTTTATCATTATGAAATTTGCATAACTAAATTAGCAACACCAAATTTCTTTTGCTAGTGTTTACATGGTATATATATTTCCATCTTTTTATCTTCAATCTTTCTGTGTCTCAGCATTTAAAGTGTCTCTTATAAACAGCATATTGTTATTTTTTTAATCTGGTTTGATTGTCTTTTCATTGGAATGTTTAGTCTATTTATGTTTAAAGTAATTACTGATGTAGTTGTGTTTTAGTCCACCACCTTCCTATTGAGCATGACTTTTACTCCTAGAGTGTGGCCCTTCTGGGGTCTTAAGCAAAAGCCCAGGATGTCTGTCAAAGCCCCTCTACCTCAGTGGGACTTGAACCTCTGTCTCCTCACCATTGTGCAACAGCTCAAATCTGTTCAGCTCTTTAGCTTCCCAGCTGCTGTTTCCTGCTGGGTTTCCTGGAGTTCTCACTGTATGCTCATCTGAGAAGTCAGCCAACAGCTTGAAAAGTAGCTGTCTCATGAAGTCCTCTCCATCATTCTCCCTTCGAGTCCCAGCTACTCTGGCAGCCTTCAATTCTGATCTCAGCCCCGTAGGACTGCTGCTTCTGCTATCACCATTCTTCCCCTCCACCCACCGGCACCAGTGATTTGGAAAAATGCCTTCAGGAAAAACCAGGGTGAATGTGAAGATTGCCCAATACATTTCCCTTCTCTTAGAGGTCATAGCCTCTCACATCCCCTCTGGACTGGGTGTTCTCCAATTCCTTCACACAGATGCTTTATATATTTCACCCAACTTTTATAATTATTTTGGCAGGAAGATTAATCTGAGACAAGCCCTTCCCCTATAGCCAGAACCAGAAGTCTTATGCTGTTTCTATTTATTGAGCCCGTCTCCAAACTACCTTAGCATGGGCAGCCAACATTTTTGTTGACAGGCAATTGACTTGATCCTAGATCAGTCTGCAGAGAATGGAATGACCTCATAAGTTGGACCCCCAGACAAAACTATGAGATATTTAACTGATGTAAGACAGAAGTTTAGGTATTTCTTGAAAGTTATGTGGTCCTGAGAGTACGAAAGAATTCAAGAGACTATTAAGATTCAAGATATTCACATTGCTTAGGATTCTTCTCAAAGGCCCTCAACTGTAGGCCAAAAGGCCAAAAAAAATGAAGAACCAATTGAATGAGTGACTTGGTGACAAGGCATACTTCTGAAGGTAGAGTGAAGAACTGGGCAACGGTGTAAGACAAGTTCAGGTGTGTGGCTTTAATTGGAAGGCAGGGAGACGTTTTAGTAAGGATTGAGTTTTAGAAAAATCAGTTGGGGATGTCCACAGGAGAGATGAAATCTGCAGACAAATTGGTACCAAGTCGTAGAGGTCCAGATGGGGGTGATGAGGGCCTGACAGGCATATGAGCTGAGAAGTAACAGATTTGAGCAAGAAATTCCAGAATCATGGTCAATGGGGGAGTCCAGGCGTTGATGGGTGGAGGCCAGGCTCCGAGGCCTGTGGGCCAGGCCAGCCAGTGCGCCCTGGACACTGAGACCCACCCACCGGCCCGATGCAGTCTTGTTCTCCAAGGGTCCCTAGCACACCATGTGTCTGGCCTGTTTCCTACTGAGAGAGATGTTGGCAGAGGGAGCGGCAAAGGCAGTGCCCACAGAAACCTTGGCATGAAGATTATCCTGAGTTACCGGGATGGGCCCGGTGGGCCCACAAGGGTCCTTCAAAGTGGAAGAAGGAGCAGAGTGCAGGCTGGAGAGAGGGAGTCCACCCACCATCGCTGGCTCTGAAGGTGGAGGAAGAGGGCCAGGAGCCAGGAGCCAGGAGCCAGGGAAGAGGGCAGCCTCTGGAGGCTCCCAAGTGAGGAAGTGGAGCCTCCTTAGGGCCTCCAGAGAGGAACACAGCCCTGCCAACACCGTGACCCCAGCCCAGGGAGACCCACGTCAGACTCCCAGCCTGCAGCCCTGAGAGACAATAAATGTGTGTGTAAAGCTACCAATCGGTGGTCGATCTGTTGCACCAGCCATAGAGAATGAAAGCACATTGCAAGGCTGGCTCCTTATCACTCAGGTCTCAATTCAAGTCAATGTTAAGAGAGACATTCTCACCTGGCTGGCGTGTCTGGCGTGTCTGGCGTGGTTTAGTGGCTGAGCATTGACCTATGAACCAGGAGGTCACAGTTCGATTCCTGGTCAGGGCACATGCCCAGGGTGCCGGCTTGATCCCCAGTAGGGGGCTGGCTCGATTTCCAGTAGGGGGCATGCAGAGGGCAGCCAATCAGTGATTCTCTCTCATCATTGATGTTTCTCTCTCTCTCTCCCTTCCTCTTCGAAAATATTTTTTAAAAAAGAGAGAAACCTTCTCTAGCCGCCTCACCTCAGGTTCTCTCATCATTGATGTTTCTCTCTCTCCCTTCCTCTTAGAAAATATTTTTTTAAAAAGAGAGAAACCTTCTCTAGCCACCTCACCTCAGGCAACCCTCTACTCAACTGCCTTTTGCCATTTTATTCCATCAGGTGTGGCTCTTTATTTGAAATCCCTGTTGCCCTAATAAGATTGTAAGCTCCCAAAACACAGGCACCTGGAGACATCCCTCACATATCCCCAGCACCAAGAAAAGTGCCTACGCACAGTGGCAGCTCCACACACGTGATGGGTGGATGAGTGGACGGGTGAGTGGATGCGGCGGTGCCCCGAGGACTGAAATCTGCTGAGGCTGAATACATGGCGGCTGTTTCCCATAGCAACAGCCTCGGGAGACTCAACAAAAGTGTACACACTCCCCCCTCTCCGCCCTCCAGGACCGTCTCTCAGTTCAGGTCACGCCTCTATAAATGCGCTTCCTAAGCCTTCAGAGGCCTCGGGCTGATGCTGCTCTCGCCCTCCTAGGAAAACTTAGGCCGAGAGTATAAAACATTATAAATTCTTTCTGCCAAACCGAACTAGAGGGGAATGCAGGAGACACCATGAGTAAGTAGGGTGAGCATCCCCCCGAACCCAAACACCCCGGGAAGAGACCAGGCCGCTTTGGGCAGAGGTTCTAACGCCTTCCCAGACGCTGTGTGGTGTTTTCCAGGCTCCGTAGACAGGCTGTTGCTCCAGGAAATGACTTGCCCATCCAGACAAGGGCGGCAAACAAAACCCCGGGAGGCCAGCTGGGCAAGGCCGCTGCCGAACCCCGAAGGGAGGCAACAGGAAAAGGGACGTGGAGGCAGGAAAAGCAGGGACAGAGCGTGAGGACAGGACGCCCGATGTTCTGCTGTGCTGACGATCCAGTCCAGGCGTGGGCCACCCCAGGGAGCAGGGAAGGTGGCGTGGACGAAACGACGTTTATTGGATCCGTTTCAGAAACAGGCAGCATGAAAGGTGTTTGGGTTTGTGAGCTCACTGAGAGTGATCGCTTCCTGTCCTTGAACCTCAGCCACAGGAAGATCAACGATGAAAAGGGATCTTCATGTCGTGAAGGGGAGAAAGTGTTAAAACACGCCAGCTACCCCTCCTGCGCCCCCTCTGATGGCTGGAATGCCCATGAACATCAATAACGTGTGGACAGGTACAGTCTGAAGTGTTTACTGTGCAAACATCCGGTGTGGACATTAGAGGTGAAACTGGCTAACAGCACTCAGCAAAGTCAAGTTCCCTGGGTCTGGACTGACCCTCCCCTTCTCCACCTGGGAGCGCACGTGTTTCGTTGACCGCTATCTGCATCGGGGCCACTTACTATATGGAAAAGGCATTGAAACACGTATGCAGTGCTAACGTTGTAAACGAAAAATCAAACAAACCAAAAGCCCACAAACAAACCCAAGCATGACTAATTACTTTGCCTGGATCAATACAGCCCAGTCTCAAGTGCTCCGTGTGCTAACGGACCGCAGCCATCCATTAAGCACATCCCGTGCTGTTACCTACTGATGCTCAGTCTGCTAACGCACAACCACCAACGTGTGGATTTTATGCCGCACACCCACCGAGATTTTGGTTGTGTCTGTTTGACGTTCTCAGATCTCCCGTCACTCTCGTGGAAGGATGAACATGAAACAACTTGTTAAAACACAAGCTCCAAATTAGCAGCCACCCAGAGCACAGCTCTGGTCATGGTTTGGATCTCCGCCCGGGAGGGGAATGCTGTCCAGGCTCAGAGGTGCTCAGAAGGCCCCTCCCCTGCTGGTGGCGAACCTGCCCTCATCCCCCCCGTGGCCTCCTCCCGCCTCATTCGAAGCCAAGCTGGCTCTCGCCTCTGAGATTTTTATTAACAAACTTTCCAAGCCTAACAGGACACCCAGGAGGTGCCAGAAGGGTCCCAGGAAGCCCTCTCTTCCCTTCTGGAGCTGTTCCGAGTGGGGCCAATAGGCAAAGACAAAGAGAACAGAAGTTCCTGGTGGACAGAAACCCAGCCCTGGCAGCAGCAGTAAGGAGACAGCACGCTACCAAAGGCATTTGGAGGCCTCAGGGGTTAGAAATTCCAGGCATATTGAATTCCCTGTATTCACAGGGAATGAACATCTCTCCAAAAGGTCCTATATACTTCCACCTTACTCCCCCTCCCCCCCTCACCCCCACGGTAAAGCACCGAGACATTCCATTGCTACAGCCTCTGCTCAGGAGGCAGCTGTCTCCCTACCTCACTGCGGCTCCTCCTACAAACCATGACACTCACAAACACAGGCCATTCTGGATCCGAGTACTGCAGCCCGTGAGCCCTGCCCACGGCAGATCCCTTTCACCCCCCAAACGCTTCGTCCCCTTTCCTGGAGGCTGCTGAAGACACACTCCATTGGGAAGGAGCAGTGCGAGACCCTCCGTGCAAATATTCGCAAACAATGGGTTTTGAAACGACGCACATTTTAAAAATTCAAGTCAAATCCAGGAACAAGACTAGTTGGTTGGTATCAGCCAGCCCTTCGGCCCTTCACCCACAACAGGAGAACGGTCAGTTTCTGACGTCAGAGAGGGATGAAGGCACCAGCAATGCCCCCAGGGAGGCTGGCTCTGTGAGTGTGGGAGGAAGCCTGGGGGGAAATGCAGAGGCTTCATCCAACCTGGTGGCTTCCGGGATGTGACGTAGGGGACCCTCAGCACCAGGGGGCAACTCTTTCCCTGTAATCCTGAAACTAAAAGGAGGAAGGCGCTTTCCCAGGGCCCTGCTTGGTCGGGGCTGCGTCTCCATCCACTCCCCACACACAGGGAAGGAGAGGTACCTTTTCACCCACACGCCTCTGCATCACCAGACCCAGAGGGGAACTCCCGCACGTCCTTCTGGGCTCTAGGTGTGGCCCAGACAGCCTCCTGCCACAGCAACGCCACGGGCACCGGGCTGTGCCCTGGGGGGCATTGGGCAGTCCAGGATCTGAGGGGGGAAGCCCAGAGATGAAACCCGGGTCAGGCAGGCCAGGCTGGAAATCAGAAAGTGGGTACCAGGCCGCTGGGTCTGCGTGGCTGCGAACAGGTGGTCACAGGCACAAAAACAGAGAGGTTGACAACAGGGATTCCCCCCGGGCACTCAGACTAGGCTTGTCCCCAAGAAGACACGAGGCAGCCTTGCCCCCAAGGAAGAGCCCGCTGGTGAGTCACAGGATGGGGCTGTCCTCATGCTGGCTGCTGGGCAGACCTGGGAGGTCCCCCGGTGGCAGTCAGCTGAGGGAGGCACAGTTGGGCTCCGAGTCCTCCGGGCAGCCCCCGGCCACCTCCTCCAGCTCCTCGGGGCCGTCAGTGATGCTGGGCTCGCTGGAGCACTGGCGGTGGGGCGGCAAGAAGCGGGGCGGCAGGAGCAGGCACTGATCCTCGGCCCCGGGCTCCTCGCCTAGGCCCGAGTGCATCATGGAGGCCATGGCCAGCAGCTGGATGTCCGAGTGGGCGTTGGCCACCGTGTGCCGCCGGACGCTGCCACACTTCTCCAGGTAGGCCTCCCCCTCCTGCTCCGTCAGAGGGGTCAGGGCCATCTCATTCAGGGGCCGGCCGCCAGTGGCCATCGGGGAGGCATAGTTCAGGACCGTGACCTTGGGCCGGACCCGGGAGTGGCGCCTGGCTGCAAGAGAGAAAGCAACAGAGGCTGTCATGGAGGAGGAAATAGCGTGGAGGGGCCCGAGGGGGTGTCAAAAACTCCTAATCAGTGAGGAAGAATGACTAGGGGGCAACGTGCCAAGGGGCCACCAAGACCGAAGGATCTATGCCAGCCTGTGGCAGAGGCGCTCTCGGAAGGCTGGAGGCACCGTTTCTGTAATGTTCCCACATTTTTTACAATCGCCATGCGTTACTTTTATGATCACAAAAGTCGATACCTATAAAACAGAAGCAGCAGGAGAGTTCAAAGCAGCAGCAACCCTGTTAAAGAACCAGCCTTTAAAAACGCCCTTGAACACAATTCATGTCTCTCCCACTGCTGCCAAAAGCAAGCACCTGAGATTGGCCATTGAAAGACCCCATGTTGTGGCCCCAACTCTACAAGCAGCCAGGTTGGAGGTGGGGCTGGGCTGTCCGCTGAGCATTCCCTACGTGCAGGTCCAGGAAGAGGAAAGAGCTAGAACAGAAGCTGGGCCCAGGACACAGGGGATATAGGGGTACAGGGGACAGATGTGCCGGGCGGACCCAGGCAGTATCTCTGGAAGAAATTGGAGTTCATTGGATGATATCCAGGGGCCCCAACCTGGTAGAATGAGCCAGGAAAGGTGTCTTGCGCGGTTGGGTGCCTGGAAGTCGCCCACCTCTCTGACGCCGTTAGTCCAGCAGCCCAAAGCCCTGGGAAGGTTAACGGGCAGCAAACTGACAAGAGAGGCCTGCTGGGCTGCTGCTGAGAGCTGGAGCCAAAGTGAGGTGGGCAGCCTGGAGGAGGGGGTCCCCATGACTCCCGCAATAGACACTTACTAACATGTGAAATGCTGTGCTCACAGCAGGAGAAAGAGAAGCATACATGTGATGTGGGGCCTGCCACAGCGGCTTGAGCCCAGTGCTTGTGCGTGCGTGCGTGTGTGTGTGGTGGGCAGCTGTCTCAGGGGCAGTCATTAACTGAGCACCTATTACGTGCTAGGTTCTGTATCAAAGAAGAGCATGCTTCACCGACATGAATGAGCCCATTTTGTAGAAAAGGAGCCCGAGGTTGAGATCTACATTCAGGCCCAGGCTGCCAGCAGAGCCCCCGTTGTGACCACTGGGAGGCCCCGACTCAAATACTGTTAACACAGGTCAACACGGCACTCTGGGGACTCAAAGACGTCCTGCAGAGGGCTCAGCATGTGGCCTGGGGTCCCGGAGAGGGAGGCGGAGGCACACACATGCCTCACCGGGAATGGTCCCTGGGGCCAGGCCACCTGTAGCTGGGCCCATAATGCCGGCAGGTGGCAGCTCTGCCTGGGTCCTGCCCTAAGGCAGGGCAGCTTCTTTCTCCGTGGTGCTCAGCTCAGAGAGGTTGATTAACTGACTCCAGGCCACACAGCTGAAGCCAGCCCTGTCGTTTCCAAGGCCCTTCTCCTTCCTTGGCTGGCCCCACCTCTCTCCTCACTGCTGCTCTCTGCCTTCCATGCGATGACTCACCCAAGAGGCCAACCGCTCTTCCTTCTGCTTTCTGGGCAAAATGTTTTGGTTCTCAAGACGGGGTGTGGGCAGAGCCCAGACCACAGGAGCCGCTGGGCTGTGTCAAGTCCCCTGGGAAGACAGTGTTTGCTCGCTAAACTCCCACCAGACTCCAGAGGCAACCCCAAGACAAATGTCAGCTGCCTCCCCAGTGGGGTCAACCCCCAAAGGCCCGCCCCCTCACTGCTTGGGAGGCCTTAAAACTGATGGAGGCCCTGAGCTGACAGACGCTCCCACACTGTCGCTGTTTGCTTTCTCTTACTTGTCTTCTTCACACCAGGGAAGGCCGGGCCCTGCCACTCAGAGGAGAAAACCTCCCAAGTAGCGACTGATGAAGCTGTCAGTGCCCCCGGGGCCTGGGGCCCTCTGAGCAGGGTGAGGGGCCGGATCCCGCCCCCTCCGTTGGCACCTACCTCCATGCCGCCTCCTGCCTGTCACACAGGGTCGGGGAGGGGAGGCCTCTTTTCCTTCCTCCCGCACCAGGCCCCCCACCCGCCCTGAGCTCTGGCATCCGTTCCCTCTGCACAGAGCCAGTGATGGCAGCTCCTTTCACACCCCAGAGAGAAGAAAGCGGTGAGGCGCTCCCTGGCCCTTTGTTGGGGACTCGGTTCCCAGCCTTTGATCTGCAGGGCTCACGGGCTGGGCCCCACCAGAGGGGCAGCCATAATGCGGGCATTGTGACCCTGCACACCAGGCCACTGTGGGCGTCCCCGCCAGGCCCCAGCACCTGAAGCCCTGAATGCCTACTTGTTAGGAAGAGAACTATGGTATCTGGAGGCAAAGCCCCCCCCCC